GCTTAGCCTCCCCTGCTGCGTCAGGCGTAGGACTGCCGAGGTTGCCTAGTCTAGTCGCTGCACCGGCTCCGTCCCCGGCCTCCGCCACTGCGTCGCTGTCCTTCACTCTCGATTCCGGTGCTTCTGCCTGCTTCTTCCGCGACCGTTCCACGCTCACGCCGCTTGCTGCACCTGCTGTTGTCTCTCTCGCTGACCCCTCTGCGGGTCCGGTCGTCGCGCGCAGTTCTACGTCCCTTCCCTGTCCGGCAGTTCCCTCAGGCTCCCTTACTGGCCTCCACGTTCCCTCGTTCTCTAGGAACCTGGTTGGTGTCGGCTGTCTCCAGGACCTCGGCGTCACCACCACGTTCCCCGGGCACGAGCGGTTCGCTGTCTGTTCTGAGGCTGTCTCAGGTTCCCCCCTTGCGACGTTCCCCCGGGACCCGGTGTCCGGTCTGTTTACCCTAGACACCGCTTCCCCCCCGGTTGGTGCGTCCTCCCAGGTCGCTGCAGCTTGCTCGTGTCGGTCCCTCGCTCACCCCTCCCTTCTCTGGCACCACCGCTTGGGTCACCCTGCTCTCCCGCGTCTGCGTCACATGTCCCAGCACGGTCTTGTCTTAGGTCTCCCTGCGTCGCTCCCTGCCCTTCCTCCCTCGACTGCGCCACCGTGCACGCCTTGCGTCGAGGGTCGGCTTCGCCGTGCTCCTCACTCCTCCTCGCTGCGTCCTGCTACTGCCCCCCTTCAGACCCTGCACTTGGACGTTTGGGGCCCTGCCCCCGTCCCCGGACCGCGCGGTGAGCGCTACTTCCTTGTGCTCGTCGACGACTACACGCGCTACACCACGGTGTTTCCCCTGGAGCGGAAGGCCCACGTGCCCGACGTTCTTCTCCCGTGGGTTGTGGCTGCGCGTCTCCACCGCGGTCTCCCCGTGTTGTGTCTCCACTCCGACCGTGGCGGCGAGTTCGCCTCTGGTCGGCTTGGACAGTTCTGTCGTGCGGAGGGCATCACCCAGTCGTACACCTTGCCGGACTCGCCACAGCAGAATGGGGTTGCTGAGCGCCGCATCGGCTTGGTCATGGAGGTCGCCCGTACCTCCATGATCCATGCCGATGCCCCCCATTTTTTGTGGCCGTTCGTTGTTCGCTACGCTGCTCACCAGCTTAACCTGTGGCCACGCTCCCAGCGGCCGCAGGTTTCGCCGACCCTCCTTTGGACCGGGTCCCCCGGTGACGCGTCTGCGTTCCACGTCTGGGGCTGCCTTGCTCACGTTCGTGCCTCTGGCACGGACAAGCTCACTGCCCGCACTGTCCCCTGTGTCTTCCTCGGTTTCCCCCTGGACTCGTCTGACTGGCTTTTCTACCACCCGCCGTCTCACCGCTTCCTCCACTCTCGTGACGTCACCTTTGACAAGTCCGTCTCCTTCTACCGCCGCTTCCCTCATCGAGGTCTCCCAGTTGCCCCCCCCCTGTTCCTTGCTCCCTCTCCCCCGGTAGCCCCTGCCCCTCTCCCGCCTCGTCCTGCCTCGTCTGGTGTCTCCCACGTCACTCCCCTCCCGTCGGTTGTCCCCGTTGAGGAGTCTGCTGACTCTGGTGGTACCCCCGGTCCGTCCTTGCCGCGTCCCCCTTCCCCGGTGCCTCCGCCCCCACTGTCACAGTCGCCGACCCCGCTGCCGCCGCCGTCGCCGTCGCTGCCGCAGCCGTCGCCGCTGTCGTCACCGCCGCAGCCGTCGCCGCCGCCGCCGCTGTCGCTGCCGCAGTCGTCGCCGCTGTCGCCGCCGCCGCAGCCGTTGCCGCCACTGCCGCCGCCGCTCTTGGCCCCTGGGGGTGCTGGTGTGGAGGAGGGTGTTCGTCCTGCGGCTTCTGGGGGTGCCGCTGGTGTTGGAGGGGGTTCTCGCTCTGGGGGTGTTGGTTCTGGGGGTGCTGCTGTTGAGTGTTCTGCCGACGGTCGTTCTGCCTCTGCTGGTCCGAGAGTTCCGGCCCAGCCGTCGTCGCCGCCGCAGCAGCCGTCGCCGCCGGTTTCCGCTCTCCGCCTGCTCGGCCTTCCCTCACCAGACCGCGCGCCGGTGTCTCCCCCACCGCCTGCTGACCTCCCTGTCTACGGTCCTGTGTTCCCGCCGCCCGACTCGTCTCCGGCCCGTCTTCCTCCTCGTTCCCCTCCTGTGTCTCCTCCGCTGTACCCTGACCCTACCCCTCCGTCTCACGTTTGGGCTCGCCGTCCCCCCCGTGCTCGTCCCGTCTCTCCTGTCCTGCCCACCCACCCTATGTTGCTCCGTTCCCGCTCGTCTCGTCCTCCCCTCCTCCCGTCCCCTCCTCCCTCGTCCCTTGCTGTTGCACCTCCTCCGTTCTCTGACTACCTCCGTGCTTCTCGTCCCCTTGTCCCTCGGGTCCTTGCCTCTCTTGTTATCGACCCTGCTGTTCCTGTCTCGCGCCTTGACGCGCTTGTCGCCGCTGTCGCTGACTTCGCTTCTACCCGCCGCCTTGACTACGCTACCGCTCTGGTCTCTGACCCTGCCCGTCCTCTGTCCGTCGGGGGTGCTCCTGCCCTTGGCAATGACGTCGTAGAGGACAGGCAGTACGAGCTGGCTTTCCTTTCCGAGGCTGCTCCCCATCTCTGCTCCATGCTCCTAGTCCCTGAGGGTGACCCAGACGCCTTCGACATCCCGACCCCTCGCACCTACGCTGAGGCCACCTCGGGACCTTGGGCCTCTCAGTGGATAGCTGCCATGGAGCAGGAGATGGCATCTTGGAGGTCCACCGGCACTTACGTCGACGCAGTTCCCCCGCCTGGGGTGAACGTAGTCGATGGTCGGTGGCTCTTCAAGGTGAAGCGCCCCCCTGGAGAGCCGCCTGTCTTCAAGGCGCGCTACGTGGCCAGAGGTTTCAGTCAGCGCGAGGGGGTTGACTTCTTCCAGACCTTCGCCCCGACCCCGAAGATGACCACTCTTCGGGCGCTGCTACACGTAGCAGCACAGCGTGACTACAAGCTTCACTCCCTCGACTTCTCTACCGCCTTTCTTCAGGGCAGCCTACACGAGCAGGTCTACCTGCGCCGACCACAGGGCTTCACTGGTACCTTCCCTCCTGGGACCCAGTGGCTTCTCAGGCGCCCAGTCTACGGCCTGCGTCAGGCTCCCCGCGAGTGGCACGACACGCTACGTGCCACGTTAGCAGACCTGCAGTTCTTTCCGTCCTCTGCTGACCCTTCACTGTTTGTGCGTTCCGGCCAGACTCCGTTCTACATCCTTGTCTACGTAGACGACCCTGTCTTCGCTACTCCTGACAGGGACGCACTGGCCTCTGTGAAGGCTGAGCTGCTGATGAGACACACCTGCACTGACCTTGGAGAGCTGCGTCGCTATCTTGGCCTGCAGATCTCTAGGGACAGAGCAGCACGCACCATCACTCTGACCCAGTCACACTTGGTGCGTCAGGTCCTTCAGAGGTTCGGTCTTCAGTTCTCCTCCGCACAGCCCACACCTCTACCCGTAGACCATGGGCTGTCTGCTCCAGTTCCTGAGGAGCCAGTAGAGCCCAGTGGCCCCTACGCAGAGCTGGTGGGTTGCCTTATGTACCTGATGACTTGCACGCGCCCAGATCTCGCATACCCTCTCAGCATCCTGGCTCGCTTTGTGGCTACAGGCAGACACCGACCTCAGCACTGGTCTGCCGCTAAGAGGGTTTTGCGTTATCTTGCTAGTACATCAGGCATGGGGTTAGTGCTAGGAGGACGCAGGCCAGTGGTCCTCACTGGGCACACAGACGCTTCTTGGGCAGACGACGCTGAGACGCTCAGGTCGTCACAGGGCTACTGTTTCAGCCTTGGTTCGGGTGCTATCTCTTGGAGATCCACTCGCTCGTCGTCTGTGGCTCAGTCTAGCTGTGAGGCTGAGATCTACGCTGGTGCCATGGCGGCACAGGAGCTCCGCTGGCTGACCTTCTTGCTCACAGACTTAGGTGAGCGGCCTAGCTCTGCCCCGGTCCTGTACGCTGACAACAGGGCCATGATACTCCTGTGTCAGGAGCCTCGGCTTGAGGGCAGAGCGAAGCATATCCAGCTGCGGTACTTTCTCCTGCGTGAGCTACAGAAGTGCCGCCAGGCCCGCGTAGTTCACTTTGTCAGAAACCCAGTCACTAACCACTGGGTTAAAAGGGCTGGTTGAATAGCGGGTAAGTGCGCCCATAGCCCCCCAGGCTCTGCACCTGTGGCCCTTCCCCGAGGATCTCAAGGGCAACCCCAGCGGGTCACTCAACACCCCCCCCCCCCCTTGGGATAGGTGGAAGACACAAACGCCTCTGCAGCGCTGGCACTGGGAGTTGAACCCAAGACCTTTGGCTCTTATGTACCATATCAGAAACCCAGTCACTAAGCACTGGGTTAAAAGGGCTTGTTGAATAGCGGGTAAGTGCGCCCATAGCCCCCCAGGCTCTGCACCTGTGGCCCTTCCCCGAGGATCTCAAGGGCAATCCCAGCGGGTCACTCAACACCTCAGGTGCCAACACAGCTGATATCTTTACTAAGGCGCTTGCGCCTAAAGATCATTTGCGGCACTGTGTACAGCTTGGTCTTGTTCCTGTAGCTGCTCCCCTGTTAGGATCCTGATTGTGTACTCTCTATTATATATGCTTGTCAGACTGGCCTTGTGGCCTTACCTCCAGTGGCTGGACTAGTAGTGCCACCCTGGCTTGCTTCAGTTTTGGTTGTATTCTTGCTGACTGGTCTCCAGACCCCTGCCTCAGTGGTTGGACTAGTAGTGCCGCCCTGAGCTGTTTGTTTCTTGTTTAATTTCACCCCTTGTCTAGCCTAGGGGGTGTGTCAACTTATACAGATTATCTATGTAGAAGTTATAGGCTAGACTGAAGTATGCTTCTAGTGAGTACAACCAACTAGTATTTGTTCTAAGTTTCCACCTCTAGTCGTTATTCGTTCTCACTTTGACAGAAGATACGACAATCAACATTCCGTTAGTAGTACACAAGCTCTGTTAAAACAGAGACACTTTCCCCCCCCCCTTTTGGTAAATTTCTGAGAGGCTCAATGTGCACTTCCCAGATGCATTTGCACACATTTCCAAAACAATGCACTTAAATCTTTCAAAACAATTTTACAAGCACACGTCAGATCAACTTGACAGTTCATCATATCCACCATATTAAGAAAGGGAGAGCTTCTAGAGCTGTCCACAGTCAACAATTACCACAGGTTGCTTGGTGGCACCCTGGTAGTACCAAACCACAAGAGAAATAGCCCACGCGGGAAATGGAGGCAGGGAAACAAGGGGGATTGTTAAGTATGGCTCACGTCGGGAGTACAGGATAGAGCGAGAGCGAGAGAGAGAGGGAGCGAGAGAGAGAGGGAGCGAGAGAGAGAGGGAGCGAGAGAGAGAGGGAGCGAGAGAGAGAGGGAGCGAGAGAGAGAGGGAGCGAGAGAGAGAGGGAGCGAGAGAGAGAGGGAGCGAGAGAGAGAGGGAGCGAGAGAGAGAGGGAGCGAGAGAGAGAGGGAGCGAGAGAGAGAGGGAGCGAGAGAGAGAGGGAGCGAGAGAGAGAGGGAGCGAGAGAGAGAGGGAGCGAGAGAGAGAGGGAGCGAGAGAGAGAGGGAGCGAGAGAGAGAGGGAGCGAGAGAGAGAGGGAGCGAGAGAGAGAGGGAGCGAGAGAGAGAGGGAGCGAGAGAGAGAGGGAGCGAGAGAGAGAGGGAGCGAGAGAGAGAGGGAGCGAGAGAGAGAGGGAGCGAGAGAGAGAGGGAGCGAGAGAGAGAGGGAGCGAGAGAGAGAGGGAGCGAGAGAGAGAGGGAGCGAGAGAGAGAGGGAGCGAGAGAGAGAGGGAGCGAGAGAGAGAGGGAGCGAGAGAGAGAGGGAGCGAGAGGGAGAGGGAGCGAGAGAGAGAGCGAGAGCGCGAGAGAGCGAGAGAGAGCGCGAGAGAGAGAGAGAGAGAGAGAGAGAGAGAGAGAGAGAGAGAGAGAGAGAGAGAGAGAGAGAGAGAGAGAGAGAGCAAGAGAGCGAGAGAGCAAGAGAGCGAGAGAGCAAGAGAGCAAGAGAGCGAGAGAGCAAGAGAGCGAGAGAGCGAGAGAGCAAGAGAGAAAGAGAGAAAGAGAGCGAGAGAGGAGAGAAGGGGGGGGAGGACGAGAGGGGGAGGAGAGACGGGTGATGAGGAGTGTAGATTACTTACCGACTGGGACCCAACGCCCTCGACCTTCTTCACTACATCCATGCCCTCCACGACCTGCCCGAACACCACATGCTTGCCGTCCAGCCATGCCGTCTTCGCAGTGCACAGGAAGAACTGCAGAAAACACGAAGGGGAGAAAATACGAGAGGGGTGATGCAAGCAGACATTTCAAAGAAATGCAGGTACTGACGGGCAAATGAGAGTACAGTAACAAGGTACCTGAGATCCGTTAGTGTTGGGCCCGGCATTAGCCATGGAGAGCACACCAGGGCCAGTGTGCTTCTTGATGAAGTTCTCATCGGCGAACTTGGCTCCGTAAATGCTCTCACCACCAGTACCGTTGCCGCGAGTGAAGTCGCCACCCTGAAATAGAAAGACAGAGCAGAAATTCGGAGCCCACTGTTTAAACTGGGGCAGCCGGACCCGCACTGAAGGAGGCTTCCAAAGAAGACGCACTTCTAATTTGAACCACAACCAGGACCATAAACATTATTTCAAAAAAAGGGAGAGAAAAAAAAAAAAAAAAAAAAAAAAAAAAAAAAAACAGGGGCCTGCGGTGCATACCTGGCACATGAAGTCAGGAATCACACGGTGGAAAGACGACCCCTTGAAGCTGAGGGGCTTACCGGATTTCCCGATACCCTTCTCGCCTGGATAAGAAGATATGAGAGAGCTTTTGGTACATTGCATATCTTCAAGTAGATATGTTTATGAAAAAAGTGTAAAACGCTTGCCAGGAAAGACGTACCAGTGCAGAGGCAGCGGAAATTCTCAGCAGTCTTTGGTGTGGTGTCAGCATAGAGCTGCATAACATTTTCGTTAAAGAGGATAGTTAGTCACACGGCGGCAAGCAGCCTGATAAGCGTTAGCTCTGCAAGTCACAACCGGTTAAGGTCGCTACTGTAGCTTACCTCCATCACGATGCGGCCAGCTTTAGAGCCGCCGATGGTAATATCGAAGAACACCCTGGGGTTGGCCATGGCTGATGCGAAGTGGTGGATCTGCAAGGAATTGACATCAGGCAAGACAGCGGCTACGTTGGATCCAGACTCATTCCGATTTCATGAGCAACAAAGACGCTACCGCGCATGAGATTCCTTGGAGCAACAAAAAAAACCCGTGCTCTTGGCGTGCTTGCGGTCAGGAGCTTACATCACGAGGAGCGAGGAAAATGGAGTCGAGGACAAGTGGGGATCCAGAGAGAAAAATGGTGTGAAATGACGGTAACACAGCACGAAAATACGATATTGCCTTAGGAATGTTGCTGCAAGTTGTGGTTTCAGGGAACTCGGAATTGGAAGCTTGGTGCAAGAAGATTCTCCCTTAACACGGGAGTCGACGTGGCAATCTCCAGCTAGCTTGGAGGGTATCGGAGGGACGTGGCAGCAGGAGAGGGGCCAAGAATTGCTGGCGCCAGGTTAGCATGCGGTTTCAATGCAGAATCAGCCTTCGACGGTCCGATTCGGCAGAATCGGTCTGATGGCCTGCTACACTGAAGCCTATATTCACACATAGTGAAGTTGTTATGAATGAACAAGCTGAGTAGCGCGGAAATGAATAACGAAGTGTTCACTCAATGAATTACGATACAAGGAATGGCAAGCCAAGATATAGGAACACCAGAGCTAATCTAACCATGCGATGGGAAGGTTCGGGAAGGAGATCGAAGGGTCTCAAAGTGACGAAGCGAGGCCCGGAGAACTCCCGACGGTCGAACCGAAAGGACTGGAGAAGCCGAGGCGGTTCTGTCAGAAGGTCTGGAACAGTCCCGAGGCTTCAGGTGTGTTCGAGCGTACGCGATAGCAGTACCGCTCGGTAAGGAATGGAAAATTCCTTACACCACCCCCCCCCCCTTTAGCGAAGGTGATCTATATCAGCCACGTGCTTGCGGTCCAAATAATTCGCAAGTATCGAAGGTGACTGTATCTGGTCCCAGGGCACCCACGTGTCGTCCTCACTGGTACGATTGGTCCATCGTATCAGAAAGTCAACGTGTCGTCCTTGACCGTCAATACGAATCCGATGGCTCAAGATCTTCGAAGGCTCGATGGTCGTCTCGGCTGGTGGCCGTACGTTGGGGACCAATCGCTGACGGGCGATGTCCGACGTGTCAGGAACGAAGGGTTGCAACAGGGTCACGTGGAATTTGTTGTGAATACGCCAGTCATCAGGTAGGCGCAACTGGGCGGTCACCGGCGTTACCATCTTCACGATCTTGAATGGGCCACAGAAACGTGGTCGTAATTTCGTCGGTAGTGGCAGTCGTAAATTCTTGGTGTCCAAAAGGACTAGCTGCCCTGTCGTCATCGTAATATTCCGTCGATGTAAATCCGCATACCGTCGGGCAGTCGTGCTCGCCTTGCGAATAAGCTCAACAGCATTGTCTCGGGCAGTCTGTAATTCTTCGACGAACTGCTGCGATCGCGGTACTTGACTCTCAACGTTAGTGGAGATCGGCACTGTAGGATCCATCCCGTAATTGAGATAAAACGGGGAGTGATTAGTCGTAGCCAAGGGCGCGTTGTTGTAGGAAAATTCCAACATGGGCAGCACGTCCTCCCATTTTTCCCGGTCGGGGCAGTTTGTCCGAATCAGCTGCTCCATCGTTTGATTCGTCCTTTCCGTCTGGCCGTCCGTTTGGGGATGATAAGCGGATGAGAACTGTAGACGCGTGCCGTACCGAGCTCACGTGTCCTGCCAGAATTTTGACGTGAACTTCAGATCTCGATCGCTAATGATTGCTGCTGGTATCCCGTGTAGACGAACAACGGTCGAGATGAACAGACGCGCTGTTTCTTCGGCTGTGATGGTTGTACGACATGGTGCGAAATGCGCCATTTTTGTCAATCGGCCGACGACAACCAAAACCGCGTCGTTTTCGCTGGGTCCGGCCGGTAGTCCCGCAACGAAATCCATCGTTACGCTGCAACGCCTTTAGAGTTTTATCAACCCCGAAATGTCCCGATAAATTCGAATCGTGGACTTCTTGAATTAGTAATTCGCGAAGTAGACGATAACTTGGGACCCAAATTCGATCAGTCCCGCTTCGTAAGTAATTGACGCCTTTCCGTGTAGTGATTGGAAGATGGCCGTCATTTACGAAGAAGGGGTCAGTCGAATACCCCTGGGTAAATAGTCCACTCAGTAGCGGGTTGCTCTGGGCGACTAGTACTGCTGCGAGTTGGGCAGATGGTCTGGAAAGGGCATCGGCAATATTGTTGGCACCCTTTTTATACGTGATCTTGTACGTGAAGTTCGACTCCAGATAGTCCAGCTAGCGTATCTGCCGCGGGTTGAGATTCGGCTGCGCCCTCAGATACTGTAATGATTTGTGATCAGTTCGCACCATCACGTCTGCTCCAGTCAGGTAGCACCTCCAGATTTTGAACGCGTGGACGATCGCCAGCATCTCCTTGTCGTGTACCGGGTAGTTGCGCTCAGCAGTTTGCATCTTCCGAGACTCGTACGCAATTGGTTGAAGCCCGTTGCCGAAATCCTGCATGAGCACTGCTCCGATGGCGATGTCACTTGCGTCGGTGATGACTTCGAAGGGCCGTTCCGGGTCAGCGATGCGAAGTACCGGTGGCGATATTAAAAGATTTTTTAATGCCCCGAACGCAACTTGCTGCTTCTCCCCCCACTCGTAAAAAGTCCCCTTCTGCAGTAGGTCGGTTAGAGGTCCAGTTAACCCCGCCATATTGGGTATAAACCGTCGCACGTAATTCACAAAACCCAAAAACGATTGCAGTTGCTGCAGATTTGTTGGCGATTGCCACTCCTGAATAGCCCGGAGTTTTTTCGGGTCTATTCGAATCCCCTCCGTGGAGATCACGTGTCCCAGTAACTCCAGTTCTTGTTTTAAAAACTCGCACTTGGAGCCCTTGGTGATGAGACGATGCTGCTGCAGCCGTTGAAAAACCGCTTCCAAACCCTTTAAATGTTGCTCCCGGGTCTTGCTGTAGATCAGGATGTCGTCCAGGTAAATTATCACGCATTTGTCGAGTAGATCGCGGAACACCCCGTTCATGGTGAGTTGGAACGTCGAGGGGGCGTTCGTTAATCCAAACGGCATCACCGTATATTCGTAACTCCCGTAGCGAGTACGAAACACAGTCTTGTGGCAGTCGTCAGCAAACACCTGAATTTGATGGTAACCGCCACGAAGGTCGATCTTCGAAAAGTAGCGAGCTCCGCGAAGGTTGTCGATCAGTTCGTCCGTTCGTGGGATTGGGTAGCGCGATTTTATCGTTACCCGATTAAGGGCGCGATAATCCGTACACATTCGAAGGCCGCCGTCCTTTTTTGGCGTGAACAGGATCGGTGCTGCGAATGGTGACGTGCTCGGCCGAATGAACCCTTTCGCCAGCAGATAGTCCAGCTGGTTTCGTAACTCCTGTAGCTCCGGCTGAGTCAGGCGCCATTGCGTGCATGCAGTAGGCTGCGCACCGGGCTCCAGCTCGATTGTGTGATCCTGGGGTCGTTCGGGTGGCAGTCCACTTGGCAAGTCGTCCGGGAAAATCTCAGGATATTCCCGAATGATTTTCGCCAAGTCGTCCGGGACCGAATCGCAGAGTTTGTTGATGTCGGTCGCCTCATTCTGCTCCGTCGATTCGGTTAGATGGACGGCGTATAAATCTGCTCCATTCTTGACCGCTCGGTTGAGGCACACCGCATTGACCCGTATCGACGTTGTCTCTTCTTCCGGCCACGTGGGTAATTTTCGCCAACCCTTGTCGCACTTCACTGTGCACTCGCCTGTTGTCCAATCGATCTGCGGGTTCAATCGTCGCAGCCAATCGCGTCCTAATAGCACGTCATAGCCGTCGAGCGTTGTCGCCAGCATCGGCGCGATGAAACCAAAATCTTCGCCACACTTCATTCGAACGACTGGTACTTTGTCGCGTATCGCCAGCGGGGTGCCGTCCACCAATCGCCCGTCGATTTCGGGTAGACACTGCTCCAGCGTCAGGTGTAGTCGTCGTGCTGTCTCTCGATTTATGAGGCTGCGACTCGCACCTCCGTCGATGAATATTTTTATTTTTCTTCCATGAAGTCGTCCTTCCGCCAGTACAGGGTGGTCCACTGGGTCATCCTCCTTTTTCAGCCGGGAGCGGTTGATAGCATGTATCGGAACCACTACTCGGTGGGGATGCTGTTTTTCGGGCGATGAGGCAGGGTCAGTAGGGGGCCCGACCGCTACTGACGCTTGGCGTTTCCCGACCTGTCCTCGTCGATCTTCTTTATCTGCTTTTTTCGGGGGCAATCGTGAGATTGGTGACCCGGCTGGTGGCAGTTGAAACATTGTCCCTTGCGAAAATCGTCCATGTGCTCCTTCGCCACTACGCCGTGAATCATGGGCCGTGGATTCTGGCCATGAAAACGATTTCCCTCCCGGGAACCCGCTCTCGCATACGTCCGATGCGCGTCGAAGTTGTCTGCGATCCGGACGGCTTCGTGAAACGTCGCCGGCAGTCACAGTCGGACCTCGCATTTAATGTCCTGCTTTAAACCCGAAATGAATCGAGCTTTCTTCTCGGAGTCATGCATGTCGGTGATTTGATCGCATAACGCCATGAAGACCGACGCGTAATCCTGGACAGAACTCCACTGGCACCAGTTGTCCAGTTTCTTGCGTGCGTTGTCCGAGGCGGATATTGGCTCGAAACGTTCATGCAGAGCTGTACCCCACGCCTTCCACGTGCAAATCTTGGTCGATCCAAAAATCGCAGTTGACCCTCGGGCAGCAGACCCAAAGTTTCCGAAAAACCCTTGTGTGTCGCCTGCCGAAAACTCCCCCTCCTGTAGAGTATATCGCCACCAATCTAGCGCAGGTCCCCGCAGTAGTGATACAGCCAGTCGAATTTTTAAATCATCAGCAATGATTCTAGCGGCATTAAAATAAAGTTATGCCGAAAATAACCAGCCCGTCACAGTAGTATTCTTATCTGTGGGGTTGAACGGGGGCGGCATTGTCGGTTTGATCGTCGCTGTCGTCACGATCGGCATAAACGCCGGTGCGGCTACAGTAGGGGCTGCTTCTGACCGAGCGGCTGCTGTTGTCGCTGCTGCTGCTGCTGCTTCGGCTGCTGCTCGTGCTGCCACGTCAGCTGCTGCGGCGGCTTCACTGTCCTTGCGCTCATGTGATACCTCACGTGCGATTTCGTCCAAGACGGTTTCGACACGTCCGGTGCTGGCGACCTCCTCTTGGGCGGCAATTTTTTGACGCGAATCCTCTCGCGCCTGGCGTAACTCAGCAACTTCTGCACGAAGTCGATCGTTGTCCTCCAGCACTGTAGCCATGCGCGTGTTCATGGCGTTGAACTGCTCCCGAAGCTCATTGAACCGAGCTTGGTCCATTTGGCGAATGCTCCGCCGGGGCAGGGGGAATTCCATCGTGTGCCTGTACTCAGGTAAGCGCAAACGCTATCGTAGTTGGGCAAATTAATCAATCTAATTCGCGAGCAACCGCTTTGCAGCTTACGTGAGGGACCTACCCCCCCCCCCCAAAAAAAAATCAACTCACGAAAACGGGTGAGCGAGGAAAGTGGCTCTGAATACTAGGTGTTACGAATGAGCAAGCAAAGTAGCGCGGAAATGAAGAACGAAGTGTTCACTCAATGAATTACGATACAAGGAATGGCAAGCCAAGATATAGGAACACCAGAGCTAGTCTAACCATGCGATGGGAAGGTTCAGGAAGGAGATCGAAGGGTCTCGAAGTGACGAAGCGAGGCCCGGAGAACTCCCGACGGTCGAACCGAAAGGTCTGGAGAAGCCGAGGCGGTTCTGTCAGAAGGTCTGGAATAGTCCCGAGGCTTCAGGTGTGTTCGAGCGTACGCGATAGCAGTACCGCTCGGTAAGGAATGGAAAATTCCTTACAGAAGTAATTTAATGGGTTACTCCAATTTTTTGTCATTGTGCTATTTGATCTTATATCACTTGTTAGGTAGACAAGATGACTGTACCTATTTATGACAAAAACATTGGTTTCTAGGCAAACCTTCATAAACGAATAGCAGCACGCACATATTTTGTTATCGAACGAAGAAACGTGGGTTTCAAATATAGGCCCAAAATGGCGTTGAGCTCAGACCGCTTCTGTTGGTATGGCACGAGATAACTTTCCATAAGCTGGAGGCCCTAACTTATGCCTACCATCTCCTTGAAGGAAGAGTTAATGTAAAGTACATATTTGTAAGGAAATTCCTTTTTCTTACTGGGCTCGACTACAGCGCGTACGCCCTCGACTCTCGGAAGTCCAGGCTCGGCCAGCTTCTTCGGTCCTGAACCATTTCGCGAACCCAAACCTAGACGCGCAGCGCTTCCGTAGCTTTCGCCAACCAGATCGCCCCAACCTGTTCGCGTGGTTCTCGGCCAGCTCTGCTTGTGCCTAAAAATATCCAGGCCCTCATTTGTACCGACACTCTTGAATCACGACTACTTTACCACACTACCTGTTATTACTCAAATTAATTCATAACAGCCGGTATCAGAGATTAATCTTCTGTAGCGTAGTCCGTTTATATCGGGAGTACCGACAGAATAGGGGGCTTGCGTTTGGTAGGTGAGCTCATTAAAGCTCCTCCAATTAAAAGCGTGTGCACCCTCAGATCTGTCAGGTACAATTTCCAGCATGTCTACCACGCCGGAAACCTCTGCCCGTCGTAGTTTAGGAACGTGACTCAGGAGGAGTTTGACAAGTTGCAGGCCAGGGTGGCTATAGTGACGACACTGCAGGCCCAGCTTCAACAACTCGCCGTTAAGTTCAAGTCGCTGGGAAGCGAAGTACAAACGCTGCGCAACGAAAACTCGTTGCTTCGCCAGACGCGGGGTGAAACGCATCAGGGGCGACCTGTTGTCCGAGACGAAGTTGCTACGAGCGAAGTGAGGGCATCGGTGACACCTGAAGCAGTTGAAGAAGTCCACAGCGAGCAGCGGGCGGCCATTAAAATCAAGCCTCCGATGCCACCACTGTTCAACCCGACCGACAGGACAACTACAGTAAGCGGGTGGTTGTTCGCCATGGAAATCTCCTTCACAGCAGCAAGTATTAATGATAACGCATCACATGCCAACTTTGCTGTGTCGCTGCTGAGGAGATCGGCACTCGACTGGTGGCGCATGCATCTAGACAAGGGAGGAGCCCCAACAGGGAATCAACGGGCGGTAGATGGGGAGCGCAGTTCATCAACAGCAAAGGCAGAACCGATCTTAGGGTTGCCCACGATCCGCACGTGGAAAGCGTGGGGCGAAGCGTTGAAGGGCAGATTCGAGCACATATCCATGCGCGAAAATGCTTGCACAAAGCTTCGGATGTGGAGAAAATTGGGCTCTGTCCAAGAATACACGGCGTCGTTTCTAGCAATGCGCGACCAAATCGGAGGGCTGAGCGAAGACGAGCGCATCGATCGCTACGTGGGTGGTCTCAAGCCGGAGATTCAGCAAGAGATCGTCTTGCGAGCCCCGGCGAGATTCAACGAAATAGTTCCCATAGCAAACGCGCTGGACGCATGACGTGGACTCGCGAGAGTGGGTTTTAGGGAGGGAAATCGCTTTCGAGGCCAGCCCCAACACACATCAATCAACGGCGTGGAGGTGTTTGAAGCCCGAGGATTTTCGGGGACCTGCTTCCACTACAACCAACCGGGTCACGTGGTGAGGGATTGCTCGCAGCTGAAGAAGAACTTAGCTAACGACAAGA